TTAAGTTTTCCCTCTTCAATACAACCATCATAAGAACTTGTTGGAGAAATTGACATACATAATCCCGATACTTTCTTATCATCTGATCTCCAATCACGTCTATTTTCTCCAGGCCTACTACGCCAGTTCCTTGGTGAAGAATCCCGATTTGTTTTAAAGTAATTTCTATTTTGCTCTCCATATGACATTGCAGCAGCCCCATATCTTTTCTTAGTCTGATCTCGACAATCTCTGGCCACATGACCCTCTCTATTACATATGAAGCATGTAACTTTTCTATTTTCTCTGTGATAGTGCTGTATTGGTTTCGATAAATTACCTTGATTAAGGCGTATTGGTAATTTATTTGAAAAGCTGGCAATTTTTGAGTTTTTACTATTTGTAATTGTACCGCCATGAGCCTCTAAGTATTGTTCAGCCAAAGAGATGACATCTCTACGATCCTTAGGCTTTCTTTCCTTAAGAAAAAGAGCTAACTCCGTTGAACAAACTTTGACAAATTGCTCTCTAATAATAAGGTCTTTCAATTTATCAACTGTATCCGCAGCATCAGCCATTTCTGTCCATCTACTAAAGTACCTATCTAAGCGAGCCATAAATTGGTTTACAGTCTCCCCTTGTTCCGGCTTACTCTCTCTAAATTTATTTCTGAAACCGTCTTCTGTTAATTGGTATCTTTTCAAAACTGCTGTTTTTAATTCTTGATAATCTGATGCTTGCTCAGGAGGCATACTAGTGTAAACTTCAAGACCTTTCCCCGTTAATAAAGAACTTAAGCTTATTGCCCAAGTGTCTTCTTTCCATCCTTGACTAATGGAAAACCTTTCAAAACGCTCAATATAAGCATCTATGTCATCTTTAGACTCTTCAAATTTAGGCAATCTTGGCCTCAAACCGGTGCTAGACGGGGTATCAAGGCGATCCCCAGCCTCGATTTTTAACTTCATCAATTCTATTTCTTGCTCTTTCATTTTCATCTCCACTTCAGCTTGAAATAAACGTTTCTTTTCCTCACGTTCGGCCTCTTTTTCTAGACGCTCGGCCTCAAAACGCCGTCGCCCTTCCTCACGTTCAGCTTTTTTCTCTAAACGCTCTGCCTCAAATCGCCGTCGCTCTTCCTCACGTTCATCTTCTTTTGCTTTACGCTCGGCCTCAAATCGCCGTTTATCTTCTTCACGTCTAATATTTCTCTCTTCTCTATCAAGATATTCTGATTCTTTCTTTTGAACATAATCACGTAACTCCCCGTCCTTCAACCCAAGTCTCTCTCCCAATGATACCCATTTATCATAATCCATAATTGCTTAATAATGGATTACTATTAAAGAAATAATAAACTTTTACGAAACCCGTAAAGTAAACACTTATTAATCAACAAAATGGTGTACCTCTGTAGCACCAACAATCGTTATTCCAAATCTAATCTCTATATAACAGTGGCACCTACCGGGCACCGGCAATGAACTTGTTACAACAGTAACAACCAGGGGACCAATATCAATCTTTATGTAGTGTTTAACAACTATGTAAACTTTATGACAACAACCAACTGATCACCGGCGGAAACAACTATCTATTCAACTATGATAAACACTTTTATGAATAATCACCTACTGAACACCGGTTATAAACTTTTATCAATTACTGATGATTATAACTTCAACAAATTATAAGTTATATCTTTATCATCGATATAAACTTATTAACACAATGATTCAAACTATCGAAACAAATGTCTCCCAAAAACCACTTAATTCTATCACCGTATAAACAGTATTCAACAAAGGGTGCTCTCCTGCTAAAATGCAATAACTTCTTCAGTATAAATAAACTTTTAAACACAGCCCGTCACCGCTTCTATACATATAACTCTCTACTTAAACTCTACTGTACAGAGAGTTTACTTGTATAACACTACAGCAGATTTATCGATTTTTGCCTAACAGCATTTTACACTGCTACATTTTACCAACAGATCGTAAATGATTTAAAGTTTAACAAAATTTTTATCAAAGTTTAACAAACAATATTTTGCCAGAAAAGATTCCAACTTAAAGAGAATATCCCGGACGAGCCCCCAAATTGTCAGGAGAAATGTCTGCCTTGATGTTATTTAATCTAAGAAAAGATTTAGTAATAAATACTAGAACCAATTTCCAAGATATGGAGGCTGGGCAGCACCGCCTGACATAAAAGTGAAATATTCTCAGTTGGAAAACTAGCATGTAATTGTTTAGTTAACACTATCTTTTTTTTAGGTATTTTTATCCTTTTCTATCTCAAATCAATATATACATGTAAACAACAAACTCTGATTATTATTTACACCCAAAACAAACACACATCATTTATCAGCCACTTATATGAAATATCTTTTCACGTATACGTCTTTTATACGAAACAAGACACCTGGCGAGCCCAAGCTCTAACAACTTATGATCAAACAACAATAAAATCACCACAAAATGAAGAACACAAAAAAATGAATATTTTTACAACTCTAAGATACGGTATAAACCACAAACATTCATCCAACAATATTAACTTCACACAATCTAATCAGCATCAGAAAACAACTTAAACTAAAGCACCCAATATTTACATATATACTCAAAACAGAGCAGCAACTAATATAATCTTGATATAATACCAAACATTCAACCAATATCAACCAATTATATCTTCACAAACAGATATAACTCAACAACCAAAACAACAAATTACAACCAATATACCCTGATCAATTAAGATCACCACAATTATATTCAACCACTTCAACAAACCAACAAAACTGACTTCAAAACAACAAAATTCTCTTCAAAACAACAAAATTCTCTTCCCAATAAAAAATAACCCCTCACACTATAAGCGTGTGTCTCCTAACTGATATAAAATCTCTCACTAAACGCGCATATTTGCTAGCTAAACGATCTGACCTTTAAACATGTATACATACAGCGACTGGTTTAAACATGATATTTACACTCTACTAAAAACAATGTATCACTGTAAAGAAATATTAACTCGTTGTTTCATCTACAATAATATATCACTGTAGGGAAATATTAACTCGTTATAAGATACATATCTACATATAAACTTCATGATTATTCTGACACCCAAACAAACTCATTTATATGTCTATTTATTTTAACAAACGTCACATTCTGTATCCTTTTTCTAGTACTTCAGTGATCATTTATCCTGTTGAAAGCCTTGAAAGGCCGAAACCGGTAGATCCTTGAATACCGGTTACAAACCATCCTGATATTTGACGTTTGTTCTCTCCTCCTATTGATTTACTTGTCAAAATAAGAAAAAAGTAAAAATAAAGAAACTGAACATGAACATATAATTTCTTTTAATAACACCAATATCCAAATGTTAGAAGTTTTTAGTTAGAGAAGAGGGGGATAGAATCTGCACAATTGTTACAATTTTTACTGAGATGATTTTGCTAAGATGTTAGAAAGGCCCTGTCAGGAATAATGAACCTTAAAATAATCTACAATATCATCCTTATGAAAAACGTTTTCCCATTAATTTTGGAAACAAATAGTAACATTCAGCTAACAATCCACATAAGCAAAATGATAGTTTCTATTCAAAATGCATGAAATATGTATAAAAATTGTTAATTTTAACACGTGTTTGACCATTTTCCTACACAGAGAGCTTATTTAAAAAATTCCCTAAAATTTACCAAAACGTGTGCCTGTTTTCAAAGTTTCCTAAATGTTTTCAAACGTATAAAATGATCTAGTAAACTATTACTTTTAACTGTGTGCATAGTGTAGTTCAGTGATTTTAATATCAGGTTCCATATTTGTTATAAGCATAATTTTGCCAATAAGTTTCTATATTTATCAAAAAATTATAAATAAACACTTTTTCTTCCCAAAAGGCATATGAGAGATACATAAATGATGTTGTTGTTTGTTTTTTTTTAAAAAGGAAAGAAAAAAGTTGACCCTTCTAGGGTTTGAACCCACGGCTGTCATAGAGAAAAATAGGAATTCCTAAAGAAAGTTCAAAACGGCAAAATTGAAACTTTTGCAGGCTCTGTTTGTACTTTTAGCCCATTGAAATCCTACAAAGGGGGTTATTATTAGGGTGGTCATACCTTATGAAGCTTATAAAATTTCATTTAATTAACAATTGTAAAATGAAAGTATTGTTACAAAAAAAGAAATTTTTAATTTTCGTGGGGTACAAACCATTGATTAATTAGTTATCAACATATCCATATCATATCTAATTATCTCAAAAAAATATTTTTTGTGTGTGTTTTTAATCATTCACTAAAAGGTTTATAAGCTAGACGTCTTTTCTTAATGTAAAAAGAAAACCAGGAAACAATTTTGTTCAGTTACGAAAAACGGTTTCGAAAAACACATGACTTATCTAGAAATATTTATGTAATTTTAGAACTGGTCACTTATATCACAATGAAATTTTGGACTGTGCAAATCCTCAATCTTTATTTACTTATTGGATTCTGTTTTAGTGAAGACTGGACGAATTCTAGTGAAACAGTTATGTATAGGTTGTCAAATGTAAATGATATATTTCAATGGGATAAACTTTTCACTATGCCGCAAGAGATGTCCTTTTCTACATGTAAATATCATTGTTCAAGACGGAAATACGATGCATTTTTCTACATTGAGAACAATCAAACGTGTCTATGTAATCTGGAACATGAAAATACTGAAGGCCATGTAACTGCTGATGCCAATAAAGGCTTTATTTACGGAGTAAAGAGAATATGCGTTTTAACCTCATACATTCAGGTAGGCATTGTCTTATTTATTTACATCGTATTCAGATTATAGGCTTTGCCCTTTTAAGTCTGAGTAAAGTAAAACAAACAAAGGTTTGCCTTTTCATTTCTTTGTTTAAGAAATTTCAATTCTAAATACTAAGGAAATTCTCAAATCATTTCCAACATCAACTGATAATGTTTTCGTTTACAGAGCTCAAATAAATTATACAAGAGAATGCATCGTCAACCAGGTGTCTTTGACTGCTTATCCCTCTATGAGTTGGGCTATGCTGAAGACGGTGTTTATGTTATTCAACTGAAGGAAGGTGTAAATATTGACGTGTGGTGTGATATGTCCAATGGTGGATGGACAGTTATACAGCGGCGCCAAGATGGATCTGTGGACTTCTATAGAGGTTGGGATGAATACGTGGATGGATTTGGGAACACAACAGGCGAGTACTGGCTTGGTCTTAAATACATTAATACACTTACAACAATTGAAAGTGAACTTTATATAGAAATGGAAACGTTTGAAAAAGACGATGTTTCACCTGCATCAGCTTATGCCGAATATTCCACATTTAAGATCAATGACGAGACTGACAAATTCAGGTTGTCAGTGTCAGGATATAATGGTAACTGTGCGGATTCTTTGGCCTTTCATAACGGTTGGAGATTCTCCACGTTCGACAATGACAATGACGGAAGAGGTACCAAAAATTGTGCTGTTGATTACAACGGTGCTTGGTGGTATAGAACGTGTCACGCAAGCAATTTAAATGGGTTATATTTGGGAGGTTCTAATACAGAATACGGTAATGGTGTCGTTTGGGCCACGTGTTGGGGCCATTATTATTCGCTTAAAGAAACCGTTATGAGAATACGACGGAAAACGTAAGGATTTGTAAAAATGGCTGTTTTTTCAACGTTTCTTTTTTAAGGAAGATCCATATATCAAAACTTAGCTTTTCAACTGTGCAGGTCTTTGCAAGTTTGTTTAACACATGTCAATTGGTTAAAGGACAAAGGCCTTTTCATCTGAAAATGACCCGTAAATTAGATAGGAGGGGTTTTCTCATACCCGTACATTTCACGGGAGAGCTTTTGACAATTAACCTGCATCAGTAAAGTAATGTTGCATAGAGAGTTACTTAACTATCAAAATGTCGAAATGACAACAGCAAAAGTGTATTAACTTCATATATATTAATTAAGGATGTCTCGTGTTTCCAAATTATCAATATATGAAATGATGCGTTGTTTGGTCACTATGCAACCGAAGTGCTATACGCAATTTGCAAAATACAGTTTTTCAATTCATAACAATTAGCTTACTTTTTGGAATTGTCTATAGGAAACGAAGAAGGTTTTTTTAAATATAAGCTGGTATAATATGTTTTTGTAGGTAAGTACATAATTAAAGTGATAAAAACATCTGGATTTGCATTGACTAGAAAGAGTATATAAAACTGGAATTTTAAATGTTACATAATGTATGTATCAAGACCTTTCTCTTTATCTATCAAGAGAATAGTATTTTAATCATTTAAGTCCCATCTAAATTGTTCCATCTATTTTAAGATGTATATATGTCAAGCAAAGTGATAAACTTAATCACAAAATGATAATGAATCCTAAAGTACAAGTTGCAGATTTATACTTTTCTCAATGTACATCAATAAACTACAAGTATTCAATAACAATCTATCATTTGCATATAAAAAATTTTATACTTTGAAGTAGAAAATATTTGCTTTTGCTAATGAAACAAGTCAAATAATTAAGGATATTGAAAGTGAAATGACACAATGAGTATACCAAAAATAGTAAAGTTAATTCAAACTGTAAATACGTCCATAGCCATATTGCTATTAAAGTACATATAAGGTATTTGAAGAATAAAAAATCTTATTGAAGTTTATCCTATAATAAAAATATAGTTATGATAAATACAATTTTAACTTCATTTACAGTTTTTTATTCCTCTCTTTAATACATTATTAACTATATTGAGTGATTGTTATCAATTTCTTTTATAAACAATGAACTGCATATGTTATACGTTTCTTCAATAAACTATTGACTGCATTCAGCGTTTGTTATGTATTCTGTAATAAACACGACCTGCATGTGCCTGTAATTCCATTTTTATTTTATACAGAAAATCGTCACGATATAAGAACGTTCTTTAGATAATGTGTTAAACTCTACCAGGTTATGTGCTCATTTCTACTTTCTCCACCAAATATAAAGTCTGAGTGAGTATGTTTTGCGCAAGTTTCATGCAAGAGTGTGTGAGCATAAGCAATAACAAAAACAAATTTTAATATTGTACTTGGTTAAAAAACATGTTTAAAAAATACTCAAATTTTGTATATGTAGTTTTGCAGTTATCGCTCGAGGCTGTCTCTTTTTAATGAAGTTAAACCACTACTACCGGACATGTCGATATCAACTATATTCATAAACTTTTCAGCCAATAACATTACACCATCTGACTTCCGCAATAGATACGCATACATATAAAAGTAAGCAATAATTATCTGAGGTACTATTTAATAATAAGACCATTTTCTAGTAAAATAAAATACGAAGTATTTAGCTTTCCTATTGCATATAAGTAATATGCGCTAAGTAGTTTGGCATTGTAAATGGGAAAGTTTTACAGGTTTACAAAGAATTGTGATAAAATATTCATAACAGCAAGTTCCTTTCCATGTTAAACTGGGCTCAAATGTTATATTGAATAAGGTATAAATACCGTTTCATCTGGTTCTCGCTTTCTTTTATATGTATTTGCGTTGGCAAAACCAAGTTGAACTTATGTTGACCTTATATGCCGTATTGTTTACAAGTTTTGACAGCACTATTTTTTAAATTTACATTTTCTAAATTATTCCTGTCAAGATGGCTGCCATTTTAAGATATTCTTGTCTTTCCTGCCAGACTGCCATGGCAAATGGAATGTTATGAATGGTCAATTGTGACAGTCTTGGCTATTTTAGAATCTATATAAGAAGCCATTACAGGCTGTTTTCAGTTTTCATGTTGGATGTAAATTCTGACAGTCGCGAAAACCAGTGACACGAGCATTTGATATATTTTTAAGGAAACTTCTGTTGTTAAATCTAGCAAATCTAGTGCTCTTCAGAGTTGGATAAAGAAATTGTGGAATTAACTTCTTTCAATAAAAGTTGTTTTTTATTAATAAACAAATGTTTACTTAGCTTACAATATCAAAGAAGGAAAACAAAGAAAATGATAGTTAAGTCGTTGAATATTTCTTTTAATTTAACAATTTTATATAATTATTTTTCACAAAATGTTTATAAAGACACATAAAATGTTAGTAAGTTATCCTCTTAAAATACGCTGAACATACAGTATCCGATATAGGCAACAACTGCTGCGCCAGTTGCCATAAAAATGAGCCCCTTATAATAATTAGTCTTCAAAGGGAACAGTCCACTTTTCTTATCTTTATCATTAAAAGCTCCTGCTGCTTCAATACCGCTGTCTGCAATAACATCACCACCCTGTGTATCAAGTACCTTCTTGTGAGCTTTATCAACTTGTAATGTGTCTGTTACCTTGTTGGAGGTATCCGGTTGTCCGTTTTCTGAAAAACAAAATTTTTAATAGTTTAATGCATTTCAAATCAGAAAAGATAGAGCAATTAGATTCATATAAGTTGTCATTGAAAACAAGAATATGTACTTGGTCGTCATATGTAGTGTGCAAAAAACGAACAAATATTACAAGTTTACTCATATTATAAAGAGTAAAAATATAATAGATTATTTAAAAGTGGTAATGTAGAATAACTTTATAATTTTTCATTATTTTATAACATTAAAACTAAACATATAATTGCTTTATACCCGTTGTTGTAGTAATAAAACATTTGTCTGCAGACATGTTTGGCAATGCTGGAACTTCTTGTGAAGTTTTATATGCCGTAATGGTGGGGCCGCCGTTCATTTCTTTGTGAGATATCTGCTCCGTGTCACAATGTGTGCCGCTAAAAGGTTTAACCAACTGAACTTTCTTCTTGTCGTGTACTTGAATTTGCTGAAACGATTCTTTTCCTACATGACATATAAACTCGTTTATTAGTTTATTATCCATGTACGTTGAATCACACATAATACGGCTGATAACTTTGTCTTCATTTGAACCACTGATTTGTAATGAAGTCTGGGGCCGCTCCTTGTCATTCATATGAGATATGTCGAGAGCTTTGTATGGGCTAGGCTGTACCAACGTATTCATTACAAACATACTGTTGAAGACTATTTCCAATGACGAATCTTTAAGTTCAAGCAGCATGGGTAGATTTATCTTTGTATTTTTCACCTGGAGATTTAGAACTGTGTGAACTTTCTTTTTTTCTATCACCTTACATGGTAGTATTGGTGCACTCAATTTCTTCATATCTATCAGAAGCGGTTGTGTACAGTTCTGATTGTGGTCATGAAGCTGTACCAATCCTGAAAATGACATGTCAAAATTCAGCAAAGGTAAATATCACATACCCGTGCCGCTTTTGCAACTTCGTAATTGCATATATATTTACTTGCTTCATTAGCAATATACAAACACAGCGTAAAGACGCGTGATTTGTTAGCGTTACACTATAAAGGCGTCAATGCATAATTATGTGCATTTTTTCTCTTTATTGAATTCGCTGGCCAAAATAATATCATGCTCGCGAGAGGCGAGCATAGGAAGTTTAATATGATTTTATTCAACACGTTCAATAAATTCAGTATTGACCATACACTCATTCAATATCCTCTATATACTTATCAATCAAATCCTTGAATATTTAAATATAAATTAACTGTTTTATCAAAAAAGATTCGAAGTTAACCTCCAGACGAATGTCTTCTACAGAAATGTGTTTAAAAATACTATTAACAATGACCACTTGGCCAAGTATTGATGTTCAAATTATTATCCCTCTAGAAGGCACTGATTTACATTAAATGCTTATACTTTGTTAAAGATCCTTTTTTAAATCATGTGTTATAAAAAAAGGATAAAGCTAAACTTACTGTTACACGTTTCATCATTTTGTGACTTGGCAATGTCTACTGTTTGTGCCACATGGTTAGCATCTGTTGAGGGCGTGAAATGAGTGCCGTGCACTATGTTAGAGCGCTTGATAATCAAACTGCGGATGTGTACTGGTTCTTTATTACTGGCACGGCTTTCCATTAGGTTTCCATCACAAACTGTGAAAATTTATATTCTCAATAAAACTTTTTCCATCAAATTCAAATCCTTACATATGTTATATATTTATAGTATGAATGCATTTGTGAAAAGATAATTGAATTATCAAAGCAAATAAGAAAATGAAATGATTAAGATTAAGATGAAAATGTGTTGGTTTGCAATACAACAAGAATGAAAGAAAACAAGGAAAATACTAGTATTGTTATATGAAATTTAAAGTAATTTGAATAATAAGATACACATTGGAGCGATATGACCGCTAAATATACTGGATTAAACAAACCAATTCATTCAATTCTTATATGAATAAACTATTGCTCATACAAATATTTGTACCTTCGCGGACCACCAATTTTGTTCTGTTGTACACCATTTCTACGTTAAGTGCTTTGTTACCAACGTACAACCTGTGGGGAAATATCTCTTCTAGTTCTATTATCGCATTTGTAGACTTTTTCACGAGCAGGAATTTGAAATACACATTTGACTCTTTCGGCAACCTGGAAAATAGTGACCGTGTAGTATCAAAACAATGTAATATCAAACAATGTAATATCAAAACAATGATATATAAAAAAAACAATGTAATATCAAAATATCAACTAGCAAAGTGACATGTTCTTGACTACATGTTCACTCACTTTTAAAGGAACATTACGCGTCATAAATGCTATCATTTTTATTTTTCATAAACAATACAGTTTCAGATAAGTACACACACATTTGTCACATTGATGAACCATCTTGTACTTCTTTTTTCTATTGTCAGTGGATACATGTGTAATCATAGTGAATGGGTATTTTGTATGGAAGTCATATACTACGTGTACTTTGTTAACATTTTTGCTACCTAAATGACATACTGCTGTACATTCATTTGGCGCAAGTTTCTTGAACCTTCAGTTGTCAAACATCTCCAAATCCATTATTAAAACTTTATTAAAGAAGCATGCCTCCAGATTAATGCTAAATTTCATAAAAAAATTGAAAATGTATTTAAAAGTAAAATATCGTGAAGTGAGCAAGAAAGTAAATAACACATTGCAAATGGCACTGAAAATCCACGTAAATTATCAAAATATACTTAAATACCTCTTACTGCGTTGGTAACGCAGTAGAATGATAATAAAATTGATACAGCAAAATCAGTTATCAATCGCACATAATATGTAAATAATTAATTGAATATTGAATATTTTTACTTTTCTTAAGATCCATATAATTATATTTTTCCAAATATTAAATTTCTTGAAATATGTTTGCTCATCTGGAGGCGTGCAGCTTTAAAGGCATGTTTGACATTTCTAAAGAATTACAAAAATATGGATGTCTGAGGCAGTGTATGCCTTTAAAACTGAAAAAGAATAAACGTGGTTTGAAACCGATATTTGTTAGTATCCGACTTTAAAGATAGATATTTATAAATATCGTTTATCATGGCAGGTAAGATAAATGCAGTATACAATTGTCGGAAGGGTCCTTTTTAATTCTAAACGTTTGTTGGACACAATAAGGAAATGCTATTGGCATTATGTATATATATATATCGTAACTTTTTTTGTTTTTCTGTGTGTCTTAACCAGTAATAGCACCAGTGTTGATTATGGAGAATCAAATAATATTCGCCTCTAATAGGACTCGTTCCAAAAACTTCCGGATTATGCGTCCCGTGCTGCACCTCTTAAAGGGTATATACATGTATATAAAGCTATCTAATAAAGTATTTTCATAAAATTCAAATACCATAAAACTAAGTTGTTTCCATAATCATATTGTAGATTCTCAGAAGGGATTCCGCTATTTATTACACATATAACGTAAAATCTTCCGGAACAGAATATTATGCCGCCGTTTTATAATGAATGTTTCAACCATTTAGCAAAGATTTCGTACATGGGCAGTCCTCGTTTAAGGACATACATACCGACATATGACTTCCATACAGGCATTATTAAATCATCCTTTTCAAAATTAAAAAAAAAATATTTTGTAAACTACAGGCAACAGGCACTTAAACGATTTTTCCCTGATGTAATGTTTTTATTCTTTTCTATTTTCATTGGTACCATTTGGCGTTTGCTGGTTTGCTGGTTGTTTTATTTGCTTGTTTGTTTGTTTGTTTGTTTGTTGGTTGGTTGGTTGGTTGGTTGGTTGGTTAGAAGGTAAGTAGGTAGGTAGATAGGTAGGTAGGTTGGTTGGTTGGTTGTTTGGTTAAATTGTGTGTGTGCGTGAGTGTGCGCATGCATGCGTTTTTTGTATTTTTTTTTGGTTTTTGTACGGGGGTGCTATGTTGTTGTTTTGTTTTGTTTTGTTAATGTTCTTGTTTTGTGAAGAAATAGGAGCTGCATTCATACGATTTGTTAATACGATCATACTAACCATAGTTTCTTTGTCCAGAAATGATGACCGACAGGGTGACATCTTGGTGCGATGTTCGGGTCCTCGTTACCAAGTTGGCGACCGGGACCGACCACAGCCAGGAAATAGTCAATATACTTCTCACGGGCTGGTTTATAGACATTCAACTGCACGTTCACTAGTTCCTTTTTACTTATTGACATCTAAATAAAAAATAATTTATATTATTCTATACTTCTAGATTATTTATACATCTTCGTACAAGCCCGGGTTATGTCTCGTCATTGATGGTTATTGTAATGTACAATAAGTTTCTGACGATGTAATATTAAACTCTTTCTTTGCTAAATTTTAATAATGAATTTGCCCTTCTTTGAAATAGGAGCAGTCCATTCAAATTGTAAAGAATTAAAGGGATCAAACTACAAAATTTGAGCTACCAAAATGATAGTGATTGGTTGGTCTGCGCGGGTGAACAGACTGCCATGGCTCTATACCGTTGGCAAAGACTTATCAGTTTCGGTTCTAGTACGATAAGTATTAAAGGGACTCCACTTAGGTCCAAAAACGTAAAATCAAGAAATTTGAAAATCTTACATATATCAACTGGGATACTGTTCAAAATTTAATCGATATTATTGAGTGCGAATATCAGTCCGTGAAAATAAAACGGTTTCAATTTCTTTTAAACTCATACGTAAGACTTAGTAACTCCTACGTAGGACTTTGTAACTCCTACGTAGGACTTTATCACTCCTACCTAGGACTTTATAACTCCTACGTAGGACTTTTTAACTCCGTCCTACGTAGACTTTGTAACTCCTACGTAGAAGATAAAAAAGCCTAATTAGGAGTTTATAACTCCTACGTAGGACTTTTTAACTCCTAGGTAGAAGAACACTTATAAAGTCCTACGTAGGAGTTATAGACTTTGTAACTCCTACGTAGGAGATAAAAAAAGCCTAATTAGGAGTTTAAAACTAATTCGTAGGACTTTTAAACTCCTACGTAGGACTTTATAACTCCTACGTAGGACTTTTTAACTCCTACGTAGGACTTTGTAAGTCCTACGTAGGACTTTGTAACTCCTACGTGGAACTTTGTAACTCCTACGTAGGAGATAAAAAAGCCGAATTAGGAGTTTATAACTCCTACGTAAGACTTTATAACTCCTAGGTAGAAGAACACTTATAAAGTCCTTCATAGGCCCCTATACGTAGGACTTTCAAACTCCTATGTAGGACTTTAAAACTCCTAATTAGGTTTTTTATATCCTACGTAGGACTTATAAAATCCTACGTAGGAGTTTTAAACTCCTAATTAGGCTTTTTAAACTCATTCGTAGGACTTTCAAGCTCCTAATTAGATTTTCATATATCCTACGTAGGAGTTACAAAGTCCTACGTAGGAGTTTATCTTTTTTTATAGAACATGTTAAACTGGCATTAGGACGCTTCCGTACTATTTATTACTAATTCGAAATGAATGTATTTGTAAAGTTCTGCTGACTTTTCTAAATCAGAAATTAAATATATGTTATAACGCATTACATTAACATATATTTTATGCTAAAAAACACATTTTATCTAAAAAAAAAAAAGAAATAACAGAAAGGCAACGTTCAAAAAATGCAGCCACCTACACAACCAAAGAAAGTAGGTGACAGATTTGCCAACTATTGAAAATTATTTAGTTTAATAAGAAAAATAATACGAAATGCAAAACTAAACTAAGTTGTATAAAAAACTCCGGAAAAAATAAATACATTTATTGTGTATTGTAGATCTACACGTGTACAGCTTTGTATCTACCGCATTTACGAGTTTATGCATGGTACAAGCTTTTGTACTTAGCATATAAATATACATCAAATGATTATGTTAAAATAAACAATATTTTAATAATATTTAATAAGATATTTAAAATGCTTCTTACTGTTTTTATTGTGGAATCACACGCTGCATGATGAATGAAGCTATTTGCATTTAATGACGCGCCCATTTGTTTAGATACGACGTTTACGAACTTTTGATGACGTTGTTGATTATTATGACGTAATAACGTCCTTTCCATTCTTAGATTTTGTAATTTCAATCAAACGTTAAATATTACGTTTCTCATTAAGGGCGTTTTTATGCATGTGCGTAAGATAAGCCAATGAACTATTAGGCATTTTCTTTTCTTTCTTTTATACACAATATCCGCAACAGTAGAATAAAATGAAGAATGTGTGGTAATATTCTAATCCACAGAATTGTCTTTTTTTTTTCTTTTTTTTTTTTTTTGTGGCGACAGAAATCTAAAATTTATTGATTGCTATATACTTGTTGAGAACTATATCTAATATCAAAAAATCTCTTCTGGAGATGAATAAATCAACAAAGGGTTTAATTTACACTAATGATATACAGTGAAGGACATACAAGACCTGATATTAAGTCAGTTTAAGTTTATGATAATTCCAAGTAATTTCTAATATTCTTTGTCAGTATAAATAACAGGTTAACTCTTTGCAACTTAAATAGACATTATCTGCGTTATCAGTATTTTATTGCTAACCTCAACACATGTTGGTCAAGAATGTATTAAGCAATTAACTGATAATAGATGTAAACAGTTGGATGCTGAATTCTGTACCATACTTCCCCTAAATTTAGCTATTGAAATAAAAAAGTTTAAAAAAGTTTTATTCATTTTGAGTTATTTTACAATAGATACTGTTACATTTCTGCAACTATTTTTTTTATAAGGAACCTTGTTGGGATAAAACAGAATGCAATGTTGAAGAATTCAAATGTCCAGCTAATCTCTTCAAAACATTTTGCTAAAAGTGTATCGCAATATTAATCGTATGTAATTGAAATTTTGATCCAAAAATATATTGACAGAAAAAAACATCAAAACAAAAACAAAAGCATAATAATAATAATAATAATAATAATAATAATAATAATAATAATAATAATAATAATAATAATAATAATAATAATAATGATAATAATATTAATAATAATAATAATAAGCAGAAGAAGAAAAAGAAGAAGAAGAAGAAGAAAAAACAGGGTACAATATATAAGTTAATATTAAGTAAAAAATGTTGGTGCGTTAACTAATTACCCGATAACAATTTGAACTTGTAGTGGGAGACTTTTCAATGAAAACAGCCATTTTTCACAAAATGCTCATGCAGTAATGGGTTCCTGCATTGTCATCTAACGTGTAACTATTAATCCAAGTGCTGTCGAATTATATATTTTTATTTTTATTTATTTTTTTACGTGTATGTATCAATACCTAGTTTTCCCTGACTAAGCTTTTATTACTTTGACACACTAACATGATAGATTGTGTACCATATAATTTTGGCGTGTGACCTTTGAGAAAAGTAGTAAAATAATTTTGAATAAACAAAGAAAAATAGAGAAAAAAACCCAATCTTTTTCCGTAAACTGATCTATGAAATTTATGTGAATAAAACTTTTAAATTAAGGATTATTCCGTACATTTAATATTTTTCATTTACATTTCTATAGAAAAGTGTGATATTTAATCTACAATTTGATAAACTTCCTGTTAAGCTTGTAACAGTTATAAATTATCATCTTTTAATTAACATCTAATTGATTGTAGGCTGCTATCTTAAATTGCTATTATACAACGGCGAACTTATAAATATATTTGTTGTTTTTTTTATCTAAAAAAATACTGCTATTTATTTAAACAAGGCCGAATCTTTAGCAAAGAAGTCATTTTAAATATGTTTTAATTACAAATAAATCACCTTTTAAATTTCATCATTTGTCATTATGACAATATCGTGTCCATTGCATTAGAAAGTATACCGGTGATTGATATGGGCCGGAGGCCTTACAGCGAATAAAAGTTTGTTGTTGTTGTTGTTGTTGATATGCATAGTGACGGAAATTTTTGAGTGTCCCGGTTAAAATTTGAACATTTCCGAATGAAATAGCGCGCGTAGGAAAGCCATTGCTGCCATAAACACATATTTCAACCTGTGACAAACTGGAGTTAACTTGTGATGTTAGGGAAAATTAATGTTAAATACTATAATATCGGTGGATGGTACATTCAAAGGTGACCATTATATATCTACATAATGACATTTAATGACAATTAAACTTGTTTCTTATGCACCTTGGTGATTTATGATGCTACAGTGCCGCTATAACAATTCAATTCAATTAAAATGTATAATTATTTATATATACGTACAAACTACAAAGTAAAGAACTGAAATTTACTGCGATTTATCTAAACTCGTGCATGGGTGAATATGCTAGGTGCAGAAGAATAGTTTGTGGGATTTTGAAAAAAAAACCTAATCTCAAATATCTCGAAATCATATAACGAACCTGGAACATACGATAGTACATCCCAGAACGAACAGAATGACTAGACTTACAGACATAATCCACAAAAAAGCACGAGAATGATGGTCAAATTTTATTTTGATCTCCTCATCCGCCGTGAATTTTATGAATTTATTTATAACACAAACATTTGTCAAATCAATAAAAATCTACCGAAGAAAACGTCTTTTTTAAAAATAAATATTTTTAAGTGCCGATTCGAAAACATACCTAGGACATATGGGTTAATAAGCATACGTTACGGAGCCACTCGATACAATTCAAAGCAGGCACGGAAATTGTCGCATACGTACGGAGGTTAAATATAATTTTCTCGCGGCTTGTAGAAAACAGCGCACGGCAAAATGAATATTATTTAAGAATCAAGTTAACGATCTATGCCATCGAGATATTACATAGTTATTCAGACTCATATCAACTTTTCTTCAAAAACACAGATGTTTATAGCTCCATGATTTTTATAACGGCGTGATGTGGACAACCAGATAACTTTTACTCAGTTTATTATTAAAGTTCTATTATCTGGGACTTCAAAGAAAGCGAGAACGATCTGACCCATTTAACAGACAGTTTTTTCCTACTGTCAAAGCGTTATAGAAAAAAAAACATTGCCAAAAATTATCACTTTGACAAGTCTATTTACAAGTCTCTGGCCGGACGCTAGTCGGGCAACTTTAAATTGCGATTCTCACTAACGTGTAAATTTTACGCTTCACTATGGTCCGTGACGTTTAGATTGACAACAACCACAACATGAAATTATGTATTGTTTAATAATTGATTATTTATTGATATAAAACTTGCATTCCAAAGCAATGAACATAAAACAGTCATGAATGACAGTGACTCTAGCTCTAACGATAGCTCAGTGGAGGAAATTGATATTAAACCAGTGAGACCAGCACCAAGATCTCGGGCCAGGCCAAGGCAGAACCACGAGAATCATGGGGTCAGCCCAGCTAGATCGCTGAGCCCTAACTCAGTGTTGAATTGCAGCGGAGATACAGCTGCAATAAAGCGTTGCATTGATGTAAGTACTTTATTAAATTATTTGCTTTAACTTTTTGTTTTTATGTATTGAAAAAAAAGGATAGTAAAAAAACGCATTAACATAGGACCCTTGTCAGTCAGTCATTATATAGTTAGCCACGAGTTTCACATATTTGACACATGCTGTTTCATAACAATACAATGCTGGCAACAATAGGTGATAAGTGTGGATGTTTTTATTCAGTTAGTTCACCTGTTCTTTGTTCACCAGATTTACAAATGTACAATGGGAAAATGTACATGTAGTTTCAACCACTATGGGAGTACCAAAAAGAATGGTTTATTGAATTGGTTCTTTAAGTTACATTAATAATAAATGTTTTTATTGTAAGGAGCTGTTCACAATATAGGACATGGAAATTTATGCAACATTTTTTGTGTCTTTTTTCATTTTATTCATCTTTATTTCAAAACCTTTCTCCAATAATTACACTGCCCTACTTAGACTTAAATATTTGTATATAAGATGGGAAATATACAAAAATGTGGTGATGATATTACATTTTACTGTCTTTTTTCCATTACAGAACTACAGCTCTGTAAACAGCAGTGGGTCCCAATTTCCCTCAGTGGTGCCGCTAAACGTTGGTGGAATTAGATATGTCACAAGACTGTCAACGTTAAAGAAGTACCCAGACTCAATGCTGTCGGCTTTATTCAGTGGGAGATACCAAGTGGACAAAGATGTTGATGGCAATTATTTCCTAGATTCAAATGGAATTCTTTTTGGATATTTGTTAGAATTTCTTAGGAATGGCCTTCTACCGCCAAGGGAGCAGTCAGTGCCGCTGTACAGGGAGGCAAGTTACTACGGGCTTCATGAACTTGTTGAGAAACTGACCTACATGCCACCAGTGGTCTCCCTTTGTGTCCGAGAGGCCCATAAGTCTCAATTTCCAAATTACGAAGAAATTAAAGAAAATGTGATAAAAATAGCAATGGAGAATGCAACATTCACTAAAATGGGAGAAGTTATTATTTACGCTTTCAAGACAGAATTTGTTGCCAAAGTGAACACGTTTAATCCAAATCATGGATGTATAGTGGAGTCAGCTCATATCAAATGTGGACCATGGGATGCTCCTGTTGATGAGGAAGTGTTCATAAAATGTTTAGAAAATGACCTTATTGATGATGGTTTCAATGTGAAACCACATGAGGTGAAGAAAAAATGCCGTTATTATCACGGTCAAAGCTGTCAAAAGTTTGTGTATCGATTAACTTTGATGCTTTGAACTGTGGGCAATGAACAGTCTTAAGTCAGTTTTAGTTTACATGAATATTAAAATGGGGATGGGGAGAATGTCCAAACACAGGTTTTGTTACATATATTTATTTAACAACCTGTTGTGGGATATGCAATACTTCCACCAGTTTAAAGCTGCTGACCCACGCACATTTGTTTGTAATTTCATCAGGAAGTATGTCATCATCCTATATGTTTAAGGTGGTTAAATAGGCATTGGTGTAAAGTTTGCAGTTACCATGACTGAGATTAGCCATTAGCATGACCTAACACTTGTAGTAATAGTGTCTTAGTAACAGTTGTCCTACCTGAATTGAGACAGATATATATGTAAATAGAGCTCTATACAAATATTTATAATTATAATATTATATTGGTGTTTACTT